ATTTTATTTTGCATAACCAATGACATAAAAGGCCCGTCATATTGTAATGTTTATTGAACTCAACCATTCTGGAACGGAATGCATTATTCAGAGAAGCAGCCAACAGTCACATGGTAACTCTGAAGGAGTTCCAAAGATCCACACCCCAAGCAGAATAGTCTATTGCTGAGGTAAGTGTTGAGCTGCACATGCAAACGTTGTGGAAGAGTGGCAAGTCCAGTTTGCATTTCCTGTCAATAAGACATCAAACAGGAGAAATTAACACTTTTAGCGATTTGTGAGAAGCGCTTTGTGGTGGGAAACTATCACAATGAGGACATCATTCCTATTCATGAAACATGGCAGAGGTAGCATGATGCTGTTGGGTGCTTTTCTTTTGGAGGGACAGAGAAGCTGGTCAGAGATGATGGGTAGATGGACAAAGCTGATGCAGAGCGAAAATGGAACAAAACAATGCAACTATAGATACTGTACCATTGTTTAGAGCCCCACAATTTTTGTGATAAAATGAGCCGATCAAACTCGAGAAATTATTAATTCCAATTCGATTTGGCCAAACTTAAGGAAAGTTGTCAAGATGCGCTCCATGATTGATCTATTTTGGAATGATTTGGGAAACCAACATTGTAGTTGTTGTGCAAAGTATAGACCAAGATACATGCAGCTATAATTAGACTACAAAGAGGGTCAACACTTCCCTAAATGGTATTTAGAAAATTTTAACAAGTTATGTTTCTGCTTCTTTCTACTTAATAAATGTTAATGACTTTGTGTTGGTCTATTGCATAAATTCAAACAAGATATATTGAAGTTATTGGTTATAATGTGTGAAAATGCAGGGTCGTGTGAAATCTTTTCAAGACTCAACAAGCAGTGTAGTATTTGTTTTAATGCCTCTTAATAAATTGAAAATTGCAAATAAGCTCTTTGTTTCCATCAGTAAAGCAAATCTTGGTTGAATATTCGACCGTTCTTGGGAGAATTAAATTTCCACCAACTTTATGCAATGTGTAAGTTATTTTGTTTCACTGCAAGTGCAGTGAAACAAAACTTCTGCATGCTACTACCAGCACTATGCTTTACTGTTGGTACCATGCTCCTAATTGGGGGGCTTTTGGCCACAAAACTTTTATACAGGAGACATTTGATGCATCCATGTGGACAGCAGCAAAGCTCACACCTTAGTGATAGACACATTGCTTTTGCAATTCAATGATGTCCTTTGTTGTATCATTTGGATATCTGAACCTAAAAAAAAGTTCAAAGGCTTCATAAAAATTGCTAAACCATTCTTCCTTTGTTTCAAATATAAGAGCAAATTGCAGATTAGCATTGAGTTTAGTGTTATACAAAATAGAATTAAAGCATTTTTCTAACAGAGAAGGCTCAGAACATCAATGAATGACTTGACCGCTATTTCAAAGTGTGAAAACAGCATCAGGAAGCTCAAATTGTATTTGCCCGTTATACTTGATTGGCTGATGATTATTTAATCTTGTTTTAATAATTAACACATAATGAAGTCAAGGAGGTTTCTATCTGAATGAGCAAACATGATTTAAGGTGGATTGGTCACTTACTGGTGTTTGCATTTCATGCTTCAGTGACTCGAATGCATTTGGGCTTTTATGTCCCAATGTCAGCTGGCCACTTCGACATAATGTATTTGAAATGAGCCAACAAAGCGCAAAGTTTTGCTTTGCTGAGCAACAAATGAGGAATTCATGTATTTTACAAATAGGGTTGATAAGAAACACTTAACATCCTGCAAATTATATGCGATGGGTGGAGAAATCTCTTCAGATTTGTTTGATATCTGTTTAGATTGTAGCTTCTGAGAAAATCTGGATACACCTCTAAGCTTTGCTCATTGCAGTCTTTGTCAGTCTTCTGTTACACCACAGAGCAGCTCTCGGTCCACACTTTTAAATAATCAATGTCTCGTTTTCTTTATATATTTTTGTATGACCACTTCACCATGTCTCTGTTATTCCCATGTGGAAACCCAAGTGTCTTCTCCAGTGCCTCAGTGTCTGTCCATGAACAGCTGCACGTCTAGTGTGCGAGCTCAGACAGCCACTCCCAATGCACCGCAGCCTTTTCTATTATTAAATGCAACAGGACCTTTGCTTTCACAGCAAGAAATCTCAATGTTTGAGACATTCCCAGCTATGCAGGATACTGCATCCCTTTACATGCAAAACTGAAATAACAGCAAGAGAATCTCCCCTATGTGGAGAACTCTTACATTGCCAATATTTGAAAGCACAAAACCACAACATGTTTTTTTGATTCATGTGGTTTGCTTTACTGCCAATAACCACTGTGTAAACAGAAGGGTAGGGCTCTGTTCATTGTGGAAATCTTTAGGTGCAGCTTTAGCAAACAGATATTCAGAATGTGAACTTTAGAGACAAACCTATTAAGGTTGCAACCAAGTGGGCTGAAAAAGTCAGTTCTCTGACTTAATTAGCTGTACTTATTTTGGAGAATAAAAAAAGAATGACCACAGAGTTAATTTGGCATTTTGAAGTTCCTATTCTGAGTATGTTTTACTATCAATACCCTGTTCTCACAGATTACTTTAGTCCTGAGACTGTTGAGATGTCATGCTACACAAAATGTATTCAGTATTTTTCCACCTTTTTTTACTAGCTCTCATAGTAATGATAAGCTTATGTAGAAACGAAGCAATGCTGCTCAAGATAACTTGTTTTTCCTAAGGGAAACACCACCCCAGTCTTCCAATCCAGGGCCACTTGGGTCAAATGTATGCAGTGTTGCTTAATGGAAGGGACTGAGCTGATTTTGTGTATAAAAGTGTAAAAATGTAAAAAACTATTTTTCATAATTTGCATGGTGGCATAATAAAAACTAATTTTACATTAGATTATGATCCTCCTTTTCCTTGAGATTTCTTTTTTGGGTCTTTGTTTATGGGTCATGTGTTATCAGGCTTTAACTTTTTAAATTTTTTTTTCAAGTGTTCTGCAAATTGTAAATCAAGCTTAAGCTAATCTCATGTGAGTCCATTACTTCAAAAAGCATCAACTATTATCCCAGACAAAGCAACAAAGTTGTCATTCAGAATTTGAATTAATCAGGGTATTGTAGCAGCCCAATCCAAATGCAGACCATAACCTGCCTGAAAAGCTTTAAAGCTTTGAATGAGCTGTGAATTAATAAGTGCTTTTCAACCTTGATTAATTAAACCAAAGCTTTATTATGAATCCTACACAGTATGACATTTGATAAGGTCAGAAAATAAGATATTTACTAAAGTTATAACCTCTAAAGAGTATTTAGCTGTTGGATTTAAGCTTCATTAATTTTTATGTTTGGACTTTAGCTCCTCGGGTAAAGGTACCTGAGTTCTTCCCACATATCTGTGGAGCAGAAATCTGAGTACTCAGTAAGGTAAGGCCTGGTATGAGGATTTACCTTACCTGCCTTCACTTATTAGATGTAACAATATTAAAATCCATTCATTTTTAACCAGAGGAAGACAACCATATTTTACATCCTATGATGAAAGCTAAACTTTAGCACCCTTCTTTCAGCCAGCTCACTGACAGTGTGCAGCTACAGGTGGGAGCGAGTAATGCCACATTATAATATAACTCCAGAGTTTCCAAAGACAAAAAATGAAATTACATAAATAGAGATTAATCTGTTGAAACAAAACATTTCATTTTAGTTAATCAACAATAACCTTCCCACAGCCTTGGTTATAATCAAATAAAGGACCACACAAACTGTCAGTTCTATAAAGAATTCTTTAACATTCTCAATAAAATATGAGTGCTATTTCATGTAGAGAAGGCTGGAATAACAAGGAAGAAAGAAGGGAGCTGAAGAGGATGTGTTGTTTAGAAAGGGCTTTTGCAGGAGGGTAAAATAAACACTTTTGCCCTACAGCAAGCCTAGGATTTGTTTTTTCATTGATAAAATAATCTGACGCTGAAAAAAAAAGTCCTGTCGTAGATCCTAGATTATTGACGTCTAAATGATGGATACACAAGGAATTTATGCTTTTACTTTGTTTTTACGACACTGTAGAGCCACCAGAGAATGTGTTTTACTTTTGGGATTATTAAAATAGAATGGAGTTTAAGCAGAAAAAACAAAAACAGAACAGAGAATATTCAAAATTCATTCATGCATATTTTTAGAAAACTGATGCATCACTTTCCATCATCACTAAATTATTCATCTGCAGGCTTCATTTTTGAGTCATCCTCGCTCACAGGAGGATTTTTGCAAAA